GAGTCAACTCCGTAATCGGTAAGTGAACTGAAAGTTCCGTAATTTTTACTAAATATTTCTCTCCGTGTAGAGAAAGGATACATAAATTTCAGGAGGAAACAATTTATCGACCTAATTATTTTCTTTTACATATTACACTGTCGAATTTTCCCAAGTCGAATGCATGTAAGTTTTTGTTGCTCATGTATTATTAATGAACAATTGGAATACCAATTTTTCCGAGCAGGTTTGATCCTCATGAAACAAGCACGATTTCAACGGAGATAAATCACGAACGATTTTCAAAAAAAATTGCAATATTATGGGCTCATATTTTTGACTAATTTTGTTTTGCATTTCACTTATTTTTCAGGTGCTAAATTTTATGAGCGTTAAAGAAAAAAATCTCATTCTTCAATTTTTATGACGAAAAATATCTCTTTGCATTGAGACAATGTTCTAAACATTCCAAATATTTTAGTGTTGATAAATCCCTATAATTTTTGCTTTCAACTCCACTATTTATTGAATGAAAAATGATAAATGAATTTGTTAGCCATCGTTTATCACTTCTCATTTAATAGACAGGTTGCCCATTGAAAATCGTCTTTATAAATCTTTCGCTTCAACAAATTTTGAAAGAAAAAAAACCGGTTTGATGGATTTGATTTTTTAATGAATCATTTATGCATAATATGAAAACGCAATGGAATTATAGGAAATGCGAAAGTAAGTTTCAGTGGACACTACAGAACATTTGAAAAAACCTTGAAAATCATTTGTCTATGAACTTATATTGGTACACGGAGAGAAAAATACAGGAAAAATTACGTGACTAATCACGTAATCGTGGGCTGGCGTGTCATTTCCTTGTTTTTTACTGCAGAATTTGGGAAAAAATGAGAGGTGAACAGTAAATTTTATTATTTGCTCTGGAAAATTTACGTGACTATCACGTAATTTCTTACAAACTTATAAAATTTACCACAGTTCGAGTGAAAATTATTTTGAGTAACGTAAAAATTATCCAGTTTCATTTAAATTTTACGTGAGGTACCATAATTTTTACGTGACCGAATTGAAAAATTCCTAGACAGCGTTGGTGGTACGACTGTTGGCCATACCTGATCGCGAATCATCGTCCAAGTTCGGATCACGTCACCCGGCAAATTATTATTGTCGAAAGCATAAAAAAACAGTAAAGGTGATTTTTGAACAGGGTGCTTGGACCAAAGAATACCTGATCACGTTATTAGTGTTTAAAAGTAAGTACATCATTATCCTATAGCCAACCATTCCAAGTCCCACGAAGTGATAATATAAATAACCAATAGTGAACAATCAGAAATGTGTTTTCCCTTGCCATCCATAACCTCAACTATAATTATTAAGCGGTCTTTCGTTTTTTTTTGTTAGTTGATTTACATTTATTTTCATTCCAAACAGTTTTGATAGCCTCAAACATGCTGGAATTGAATAGCTGTTTCATCACACGTCTTGTTCGATCCATGTAAGAAAACCATTTTGTTAAAACATAGTATTATTTTTTGAACATTGTTAAAATTAATAATCAATGAAAAAAGTGCCCGAATAAAATAAATTTTGATCCAATGAAATGATCTATTAATTAAGTATCCTCTCCCTCAATTATTATTATTGAAAAAAAAAAACAGTTTGGGCAAAATTTACGGAACTGAGGACCGTAATTTTTCTAAATCACAAAAAAATTTTGTAAAAAAATAGCGCCAAGTCGACGTGAATCTGATCGCCTCCAAGACAGAAACATGGGACAATTACTGAATAGTTGAAATGACACAGTAGGCGAACTGATTATGATATAATCTTATTTTTAAAAAACCATGGAAATATTAAAAAATGCCAAGTTTATGCTGATAGCGTCAACGGGACAATTTTCTGCAGTTTTAGTTACGATTCGAAAATCGATTATTGTTAATAAAGGCTTTTGTGATTCCGGCTGTAAGACAGTGTTTTACGGCTGCGTCGCTTTGCTTCGCGTCCACGAAACGCTGACTACGGCTGTTATGACAAAAAATGGTGGGCGTCAAACGGCCAAAAAAAATTTGTCGACCAATATGATTGTTGCAAACCTCATCTTCGCTAGAAAAGTTTTTTTCGGCCTAATGACAAAATATATTGTTTCAAACCCCGTCCATAGGAAATTGATTCGGAAAAAAGTCAACTTGGCGCGCCGGGCTGTTCGATAATGAACATACTTCGTAGGAAGTGAATGATTGACAAAGCTAGAGTTCGCACGCTAATTGACAAAACGCCAAAACTATTGAAATTTGATTCGGCTTAATATATCACAATTGGATTCCGTATACCTGACGTGTACCTAACCTATTCACCAATGAACGTCAAATAGCATATCGGTATGAGGAAAGTGGGTACCCGTCAGTGTGATGGCGCGTTCATAAGCGACGCATGGTGGCACACTCACATTATGAGACAACGGCAAAGAGTGGGGGACGAAGATCATCAGTGAATAGTTTAAAATGAGATGTAGTGCTTATACATGATAAGATGTCCGTAACGACTGAAGTAATTACGTAATTATCAATCGATGCATTGAATCAATAATCCACTTACGAATTTATGACTTGCTAGGGAAATGCTAAAATATACTTGTAATTTTGTACTATGTTCCCGGCAACATAGTGATACTCAGTGAATTGAAAGGGAAAAATTAGGCGCGCCAAGTTGACTTTTTTCCGAATAAATTTCCTACGGACGGGGTTTGAAACAATATATTTTGTCATTAGGCCGAAAAAAACTTTTCTAGCGAAAATGAGGTTTGCAACAATCATATTGGTCGACAATTTTTTTTTGGCCATTTGACGCCCACTATTTTTTGTCATAACAACCGTAGTCAGCGTTTCGAGGACGCGAAGCAAAGCGACGCAGCCGTAAAACACTGTCTTACAGCCGGAATGACAAAAGCCTTTATTAACAATAATCGATTTTCCAATCGGAACGAAAACTGCGGAAAATTGTCCTAGTTGACGCTGTCAGCATAAACTTGGCATTTTTGAATGTTTCCATGGTTTTTTAAAAATAAGATTATATCATAATCAGTTCCCCTACTGTGTCATTTCAACTATTCAGTAATTGTCCCATGTTTCTGTCTTGGAGGCGATCAGATTCACGTCGACTTCGCGCTATTTTTTCACAAAATTTTTTTGTGATTTTTTAAATTTAATATTTATATGATTTTTTTTAAAATTGTGTGATTTCATCCATGCAGTTATTGTCCCATGCTTCTATCCTGCGTTTAAATTAGCGTCGGCTTGGCGCCATTTGTTCACAGCATTTTTTTATGATGTTTTTTTATGTGAATAATTACCAAACAAATGATGCAATCAAAAGTATTGGTACCTGTTTTAAGCCTCTCTGACATGTGTTAGTTAATCATAGTAATTTTCCTCAACGAAATATAATTTAAATATTCATGTTTTAGTTTTTATTCAGTCATTCAAGTTGATTATTGAAAAATATTACATAAAAAATTTAAATTTGGAGGTAATATTTCAATTCAAATATTAACACTCGATTCCAATTGTTAAATGGTCATTTACAAACATTAAATTATCTGTTTAATTAATTTATGATTAAAATGTTCGAATTCTAAATATTGAAAAATTGACTGAACTAAAATTTTTAATTTGGTTGTTGTATTCAAATCATTAAATTATCTGTCTAAATAATTTATGATTAAAATGTTCGATTTCTAAATATTGACAAATTAACTGAACTAAAATTTTTAATTTGGTTGTTATACTCAAATCATTAAATTATTAACAATCGATTCCAATTGTTAAAGAGTAATTCACAAATATTAGGTTATTTAGGTAATTGATTTTAACTGAACTAAAATTCTTAATTTGGTTGTTATATTCAAATCATTAAATTATCAACAATCGATTTCAATTGTTAAAGAGTAATTCACAAATACTAGGTTATTTAGGTAATTAATTTTCGCTGAACTAAAATTTGTAATTTGGTTGTTATATTCAAATCATTAAATTATTAACAATCGATTCCAATTGTTAAAGGGTAAGTCACAAATATTAGGTTATTTAGATAATTAATTTTAACTGAACTAAAATGTTTTATTTGGTCATAATATTCAAATCATTAAATTATTAACAATCGATTCCAATTGTTGAAGGGTAAGTCACAAATATTAAATGACTTAACGCTCTTTGATTGGCTTACAAGCACGGGCTCCATCCTAGTTCATGCGCCACCGCTACGGACCCGTGCGGCTGAATTCCGTAAGCGCAGACAATTTCCCCTATACTTACTAGTTTTATTCCGAAGAACAGCCCTCCCAAACAGCGCTAGGGACTAGTAACGCTCTCGAAATAAAACTCTTGAAAAAGTGAATTCTTATCCGTTGCTATGGAGTTATTTTTGTAATAACGTAATAAGTGAAAAAAGTAAAAATCTCATCAGAAAGATCAACCGCGATTTATATAATGTATCTAAGAATGCTTTTACAAAATAGCATGCGTTTGAAGGGGAAAAAAGCAATTGAAGTTTTTTAAGGGGTTAGGGGCGAGTTGTTAGCTGAAATATAATACACGACAGCTCTCTGCCTGTGACGTCACCTCTGCCTGTGAAGTCAAGTTGGCAGATACGCTATCGCGTATCTTGATCTCTAAAGGTGACTTTTTACCGACCGAGTGGTAAAATGTTCAGAATGATCGGCACTTTTTCCGATTTTACACTTCGCCCCACGTTTACCCTTCACACTTGAATGTTTACGGAACTTTCTACGTACTTTTTCCAGTATTTTTCTCTCCGTGTAGAATCGCTGTAACAACGTAAGAATATCCCAAGACTTCCTCTGTTCGAAAGTACGCGAATTCTGTAGAAAAAGATATTTACATGATACGTGCATATAACCGCATGGGTTTTAGTTGACTATAGTTAACTGGAAATCAACTAAAACCCGAGGAAACGCATGTCGCGCATGCGCATCCTTGATTCAAGAAAAACAGCAGGGAAATTTAACCTCCGGCTAGTCAATATCGGGAAGGACTGGAAAATTAAAAAGGGATTTTCAGAGGAAATTAAAATGAGTCACATCATTCCCGATAGTGATGAAGCGTTAGATAGTGAAGAAGATATATTTATGGATCAGGATTTCGTTGGTGATGTAATATCGGAAGAAAATGGGAATGAAATATATTCTAATGAAGCAACAGCCGGATCAACTCAAACTCCGCAGAAGAGAAAAGGTTACAATGGGTTAAATAATGAAAATCTTCCATCACATATTTTGGCAAAACCCCAAAAGGCCAAAAATGAGACGCTACCAGCAACTTCAATAGAAAAATATAAAAAGATTCACGAAGTTTTTAAGGTGTGAATGAAAGAAAAAAACGTAACCCGAGTGTCAGAAACTCTGTTGCTTGCCTATTCCATGGAATTATCAGAGAGATATGCTCCGAGCACTCTGCGGGCTACGTATTCGATGTTAAAATCGACGTTGAGGATATATGATAACCTCGACATTTATCCCTTCACACAATTGCTGGCGTTTCTCAAGCAGAGGGGCAAGAAACATAAAAAAAAAAAGTCAAAGGATTTGACTGAACGACAGGTTCACCAGTTTCTCACTTTTGCACCGGATGATAAATGGTTAGCCGTCAAGGTAAAGAAATAATTTTGAATGAGGGTTGGGCGTAAGTGATGTGTACTAAAATTGCTAACATTGCTAACAAGTTACGATTCATTTGATTCATTTTCATTTTTTAAATTATCGGTAATCATTCATTGAAGGTCGCATTGATATTTGGGATAAATGGTGCCTGCCGACGCCAAGAATTACACGATATGAAAATGCAAATGCTACAGGAGGAGGGAAATTATTTGCATGTGACTCTTCCGGCTGAAGTTACCAAAAGTTTTCAAGGAAGGATTTTTTCTGTCACCGGCAAGTGGTACACTACTGTCAAAAAATACTTAGACACTCGACCACAAAATTGCACACTGGACAGTATTTTTTTGACCTATCGTGATGGGAAGTGCACTAATTTACCCATGGGAATAAATACACTGGGTGCAGTTCCAAAGAACATTGTAACTTATTTGCAACTCCCTGATGCGGCTCAGTACACCGGACATGCTCTCCGTCGATCCTCTGCAACCATTTATTGCAAGGCTGGGGGAACATTACTTGGCTTGAAGGATCTTGGAGGATGGAAATCGGATACAGTCGCTCAGTCTTATCGCGCATAGTCTCTATATAATAAAAAAAAAACTGCGATATAATTACAAATGCTGATATGATGGCGGGAGACGAACTGCCCCAACCTTCATCATCCCGTCTTGACAATATGGAGAATCAGCTACATTGTGGAGAGTTGACTCCAGGAATGGAAATATCCAATCCACAAAGAGTTCTACAACTTGCCAAGACAAACATCAATGTTTTGCAAGATCAGAAGAGTTCCGCTAAACCAGTGAAAAATCGCTCATCAAATGATGTGACAGACCCATCAACACAAAAGAATGCAAATGATCGAAATAAGGAGAACACTAATATGAATACGCTTCAAAGCTTAGATTTAGTTGATAATGTTACCCTTAACTTCAACAATTGTTCTTATATCACAATTAATATTAATAAGCCAAATTGAGTCTCTAAATGTTTGCATTTACCTTCGAGTCATAAATTTGAAATGTATCAAAAAATAAAAATATTAAAAAATATTAAAAAATATATTAAAAAATAATATTACGGTTGAAAAAATGTTAATCAATGGATAACTGTAATTTCAAAAATACAATAAATGCAACTGTTCCATATTTTTCAATTACACTTTTTTTTACTTTTTTAAAATTAATGTAATTTTTATTTTTTTCAGTGGGGGGGGGGGGGGGCTTCACCCCCCTGGACCCCCCTTTCTCGTGGGGCGCTACGCCGCCCTCGTGAGTAACCGCCTGCTTTCCGCACTAGTTGCGTAATGTACTATTCTGGCTGCAATCCCCACAACATCATTTGTTTATGAATAATCTATTAGTGACAAAAAAATCACGAATTCGATTCGGGGGCTTTGATATTCGCCATGAACTAATGAAAAAATTAAGAATAAGAACTACATATTTATGAAAATCGCATGTAAAAAATCAGTCAGTCAATAATAGACTAAAGTTTCATTTCACCGAAAAAAAAATTCTCTTGTATAAAGCGCAGCGCATACATTTAAACCCAGTGCGTATCACGCTCCTCGGATGGAGCTCCGCGAGCAAAAAAAGGGCGGACCGTAACATCATGACTAATTCTTGAGGTTAAAAAACTTCAAAATTTTGTTTCATAATAATTATTTACATTAGAGTATTGTTTTTTTGCAGAAACTGATAGAGAAATTTGCCCGCTATATTCCGATATTTTTTGATTTTCAGTGGGCTGAGCTGAACTGATGCAGTTAATTTTCTTGGTGTTCAGCGCCTAAAAAACAATATTTTTAACTGTCTGCCGGTTGGAATCCAGAAAATACATTTTTATATGTTTTTCAGGACATTATTATGGACCGATTAGGATTTTTTCATCGACAGTCGAATTAATATTGGGTTCCAATGTTTTTACCAGCCAGATTGATTGGACTAATATGTTTTCTTGTGGTTAGTAAATATTCTTGACAAAGGAATTTTTTATTTTCAGTGAACGTAATATTTACATGAAATATGATATTGAATAGCCACTACAATTTGAATAATGGAAGATAATATAAAATAGCACGTGGGATTTTATACACGAATGCGTCAAAATTATTACTACAAAGATTTTGACCTAAAAAAAATTGAATTAAGGTAGTACTCCCATATATCGCAACAGCGATGAGATTTTGATAAAAATTGATATACAGATACACTAATGCCAAAAAGAGTAAGTTGAATTTTGGAAGGCGGGATGGGCCAGAACAATTAATTTTATTTTTCGACGATTAAAATTGTGTCTTATGGGAATTCGCGGGTTATTCTTAGTTTTTAAAATTCCAACAATGGGTTTTTCATGAAATTTTTTCAGCTATATGTACACATATGAAAGGACATTTTGCGCGTTGATGAATTTTGATTCACGGACTAAAAAAGTTGAATTTAATTAATTAAGAATGATATTAACGAATGTGGCAACAACACTACTCAGGTTAGATGAGCTCTCGTTACAGAAACACATACATGAAAACAATGAGTTGACCAATGTTGTCAAGCCGAACTGCCGCGCTAGTCAAAGTCATCAGTACATTAGCTTGGCTCATGATGTACCAGGAGTACTACTTTAAGGCAGGTTGTGTTTTTCATACTGAAGATCAAAGATTTTCGAGAAATTGCTGTATTTTGGAAACAACTGGGCTGATTGAGCTGAAATTGCACCCAGAAAGGCTTCACAGCAATACCCATTATGTGACGAAATTTCAGATTCTAAGCTTCAGCTTCCATTATTTTTATATCGTGATTAACAAAACTTTTCGAAATAATTAACACATCCTTTCGAACACACTAGGACGGTGTTCAAATTTTTCGGATTTGTTGGTTTGCGGTGAAATTCGCGCATTGAAAAAAAAGGCTTCCATTCAGAAGTAAAAAGTACAAGAATCACTGGATTTTATGGAAAATTACAAGAATTTCAGATTATTTATCGAAAGTCAAAGTTAATGCAATTAGCGGGAAAGGTGAGGACTGAAAAATTTAGATTAAATGAAATTTCGAAAAAAAAGTGCCCTTCCAGGGAAATTAAGTACAAAAATATTTAAAAAAAATATTCAGTGAGCCTAGCAATTGTGCATTACCAAATCACTTATTGACATTTCAAATTGAATAGGTAATAAACCGAGATGGATCATTCTCATTGATCTGATACTTTGTCAAATGAGAACGATGATGCATAATTAATTTTGTTACAAATCGAGAAAAAAAAGAATGGCGGCAAGTATAATGAAAAGGCATCAATGATGTCGCGTCTGCGATATAATTGGTTAAAATGAGAATAAAAAAAAAATATTTCACTGCTACAAATTTTTCTTGTCACATGCAACCAAATTAATAATATTTTGGAATCTTATGTAAAACTTGATCAGGCTTATTCTTTATTGGATCAGTCGCCGGAGGCGGCTGATTTGAATTGAGGATTCATTTAATTTTTAAATTTTCAATCATGATGTTTATAATTAGAGCGCTCTGTAGCGCGTGTTCGCTCTCGTAGTGGTAAATAGATGATACTATTGGATAGATGTATCAGTGCGGGTCTGCAGATGAAAAAATACATGCTTGAACGATGGGCTTGGATCAATCCATTGATAGAGGTAATATAATGTGAAAAAATGATTAATTTCTCATTTTGAATTTATTATTATTGATAAATATCTTTAATTTTGGTTATCAAGTACTAATCCGTTTTTTTAGATCAAACCCTAATTTGTCACACTTGATCAAATGTGGATCGAGTCAAGGCGTTACATGCTTGATCAAGTCTTGATCAAGTTGTAGGATCAGTATCTGACCCAATATCAAGTCTTCCACTTGACTTGATCCGAACTTGATCTAGACCTGAGCTAATTTTCCACTCGGGAAAGGTGGAAATGTTGGATAATTAATGACGAATCAATAGAAATATTTAAGAAATAAATAAAAATAATAGTAATTGTATTATTATTATAAATATTATTATTATTTATTATTTATTATATTATTATTAATGATAAAAAGAATTTGTGGAATTATTCTATCATTGTATTTTTTTCATTTTTATGAAATAAAAAGACTTTCACAAAAGCATTTAGAAAAAATATTTTTTTCGGCCCTCTAACTGCCTATAACCCATTAATTAATTATATTATATAACCCATAAATCGTGTTTTAATAAATTAAAGAATTCAAGAATGGATGCAAGACACATGGAATATTAAACGTAAAAATATCTCTACAAGGGACAACTCAATTTGAAATATTGCAAGTAATTTCAGTAACACCCCTAAACAAAATATACCAAATTTTAAGTTCAATAACAAAATACTATGAAAAGGTAAACTCTCTATGCTTTCACTATGCTAATATTTGCCAGATAGCTTCTGATAGAGGAAACACTTCTTTCAACCAAAACATTGCGAGGCTATCAAACAAAAAAATTAGATTTTTTAGAATCGAAAAAAGAAAAAGAAATAAGAAAGAAATCAGCACCAGACAACGATGAAATTCTCAAAATTGTCGACAGTATTCTTATCAAAAATTTACAACTCAGATTTCCTTCTCCACTACTTCCCTAATACCTCGAAACGAGCGGTGGTAATTCTATTCTCAAATCAGGCCAATCCTTCATACCGATCAGAGACAGGCCTGTTAGCCTCCTCCCCAACCTAGGTAAAAAATGTATTCTCGTGAGACGCCCAACCTCAATGCATAATCTCCAAATCATCCCTACGGAGCAGTTCAGTTTCAGGGCCTTCCACTCCATCACCAACAAACTCGCTGGACTAATTAAGCATATTAAAACTGCTAGTGTAGCTAAGAGATCGACTGCGGCACTACTCCGAGGTAGCGCAAAAGCACTCGATTCGGTGTGGCCGAGGGAACTAGTCTACAGACTTTTTTCTTATAACTTTTCTTCCTTTATTGTTAAATTAATTTACTCATTTTTATAAAATAAATATATAGAGATTAGAGAGAAATATTTCCTCTGGTCACCTCAAAATATATAGTAGCTGGAGTCCCGCCAGGCCCTATCTTATCTTCAACTTTATTCAATATTTATATATCTTCAGTTTTCGAACATGGCCCAAAGAATGTCAGCCTAGCTGGCTTTGCAGATAACCTAGCAATTTTCAACTCTAGTGGTCTCGAGATTGGAAAACGTTTCCTCCCTTACCCTAAAAGAACTGAACTAATGGTAGATTAAAGTGAATGAAGTCAAAACTGAGATAATTTTCTTCACTCCCAATGAACCCTCAGAAATTATGGTTAAAATTAGGGCTGTAGAAGTCACACCAAAAAATTTGATTAAATATTTAGTCATCACATAACTCACCGAAATTCGACAGCCAAATCTTAAATCAACCTCGCTAAGCGAAAAAATTGAGCTAACTTTGGATAAAGCTCTCATCAGACACGTAATCAACTACGAATGCCCGATTCGGCATAACGCTGCTACCTCACACTCACCTCATCTTCAAATTAGACAAAATAAATTTCTAAAAATTATCGAAAATAGATTCTTTCATTAACTGAAAATTTCCCACTTAGTTTAAAAGCCTACCCAAAGATATCCACAAAATAAATATTGACCAAGGATATAAATGATCTAAATAACTCCTTCACCCCGACCATTTCCGAGACTCCCGCCCCTCCCCTGCTCCATCAAATTCATCCATCGCATTTAGGGTTATTTCAAATAGTAATTTTCTCTTTTGGAAATGCACCTTCTACTGCCAACACTCATTATGCTAATATAAAAAAGAATCTATTACCTCCTATTACGGCCTAGTCTTAGATTTAACAAACATGTAATTACTGTGCATAATGTATACCGAGATAAATAGACATTTCATAATGTAATGCAATTGATTACCTCAGTGACAAGAGATAGGTTTAGTAAGGTTAGGGTGATTCGTTCAAATCTCGGTCAAGGCGATCAATTTTTCAGTTGAGTAGTTAGATTTTTTCAACAATAATTTCAGCAGGGAGCGACCAATAGAGTTAAAATGGAATTGTATTGATAATCAAGAAATAATCAATTTTATTTTTTTCCATTATTCCAAATCAATGCTAGATAAGTTCGAGAGGTGGATCCCAAAATCGGATCGGACTTGATGTTCAAGTTTGGATTGAGATTGATCCAAGTTTGGCCCAGGCCTGGACTGCCTGGATTTTAGCTTGGCATCCAAGCTTGGGTCATTTGGTTGGTGTTACAATAAAAGAATAACCAGGGTAGGTACAAGCTTGGATGCCACGCTCAAAATAATGGTCAACTCCCACCTGGGTTCTAAAATTAAATTCATTTAAATATCCAATTAAAAAATAATAACAGGGAAGGCCCTGGGTTTCTCTTACATTTTTAATATCGCCTATGAATTTCCGCAATTAATTCACTAATAACCAAAATTGTGTATCTAGAAAGGTAAACCAAAGGAAAAATTAAAGTTTACGGGCACCATAGCGAAGAGCTAGTACCCACAAATCATTACTAAAAAATACAATGGCAGTATTCACTGAATGTAGTCACAGGCATTAGGATTGCGAAACCGTTAACATATCAGCGTTACTTGAGCCAATCGATTATATTCGGACAATTCAGAACACATTATCAGGACTCTACTTGTCTTGTGTACCTTCGAGGCTTTATTTCTCAGATTGCTGTTGTTTTCCAAATATTTATTCAGCGACGATGCGTTATGCATTTTATAATTTAGTACGAACTCTATTCCAGAAAATCAGATTTTCATTCATCAAATTTCGAAATTACGTTAAGAAAAATAGAAAAGATGATAAATCTTTACTGTTCGGGGAAAAATCATTTTTCTTCAACATTCGCTTCCTTTAATAAAAAATTAACATTCGAGTTTTCGGGAATCCTTCTTTCAGATTAAATGAATTTCGGCTAAAATTGAAATAACGTCAATTGTATTATGAGTAAAAAACCGGGAAATGCACTTGAGTACTAATTTTTCGTTGAATAATTTTAGAGTCATTTTTAGAAATTGAATTATTCAATTATTCTGTGCATCTTCCTCTAAATGAAAATTTCCTGATATCATATTTTAAGTTTTTTCCCTGTTTCAAACGATTTAATAGCAAGAATCAAATTTTGAAATAAAAATATGAGAACATCGAATAAACATATAAGTACAAATGAAACTAAAATTGAAGATAGTATGTATAACTATAAGAGTCAACAGAGATTTGAAGGATTGACGCCGCACCTGCATGCCTTCAATCGAATGTTTTAACCTATGGTGCTAGACAGAGCATAGCAAAATCTGAATCGCATAAACCATTTGAGCCATTAGTTTATCGAAAAATATTTCTATTCTTGTTCATTTCCACCAATAATTAAATTTCTCATTTCTATGGATAACCTTCAATCTTAACAATGGAATTTTAAATTTTTTTAAATTAAACCGAATTATTTTCAAAGCTTTAGTCGACTTACATTGGTGTTTATCAGCCAGCATTATCAAAGTCGGCGGTAAATCCCTCCGCCTGAAGAAGCACATGACTTTTGCCTCAACATTACCACTCGCCGTCTGAAAATAAAAAAATTAATGAATGACAATGATCAAAACATTTTTTTCTTCTCCCTGTTAAGATTAATAATTGTAATAATTCTAAAAATATCCCAAAACTAGATTTACTATATTCGAGTACACTAATACAAAAATCAACGATAAAAATATAATCGTATTATTAACGATAAAATATTGTTTATGGCCGTACATTATTTTCCATGATTATGAATTTTGAAGGAATATCAGAGGAATTATGTTTCTTTTGAAATTTCGATGAGATAAATCATTTTGGAGTATTCTTGGCCACTGTAGGCACCACAATCCGCATCACAATCATTTAGCTTTTGAATCATCCTTTAAGTGGCTCTGTAACATTCCCATAGGAATTAAATTTTCAATCCAATTATTTTTTAGGGTAAAATTAATATTTTGAAAAAGTCAAATTATTAATCGCTGCGTAACGTGGCGATGAAGCGAATGGAAATTTGATCTTTAAGCAATAATGGGATCACCTTCAAAAATAATTGGAGTGAAAACTTCACTCCTATGGTAATATTACATAGCCTCTTAAATATCGTGTAGATTCTGTGTAATGATGTTAAAAGCAAAAAATTATATTGATTGAAGTTTTAATTTTAAAGATTATTATAAAATAATAATGGTGTGTTGTTAATTCTATTAGAATAACTTTTTTTTTCTCGTTCAATTATCGATTTTGAAAAATGTTGCATGCTTTTACTTATCACTTTTCTACATATTATTAATCTCCGAATGTGCACTAAGCAACAAAGAAACATAAATAAAATACTAGTAACCAGGAATTCGGACTATGAGGCATTTTGGTTAGTGGAATGTCATGGGTCACAGACGATCCATTGACCAGAATGTCCCATACTCCAAATACCGGATGATAAGGCATTTAGAGTTAAAATTGAAAGGATGACATTTTTGCGGCCAAAGGTTTGTCTGTAAGTTCTTTAAGCTATGCCTACGTGGCTCAAAATACCCCTGAAACCTATAACACTAACTTCCAGATGATCAGTGAATTTGAGGAGGTGACGTAATTTCGCACCTTTTATTGCACACATATACATCTAGTCCCGCTCGGCTTTTGAAATATGAGAGCATGCTGAAATGCTCATAATATCACTAAAAAAATACTGCTGCTAAGTTGAAAAAATGGCTTTCAGTAAGTATCAAAAGAGTACTAGAATTGCTGCGAATTTTTTTATTCATAAGAGAAGCAAAAACCTACTCCGAGTAATAATTTTAGTCAAAATTTTATGAAAACTTGTAACCAGCAGCACCATTATCACTCTTCGCATTTTTTTTTAATATATAGGCTTGAATGCTTTGCAAAACTTCACAACATCAAAGATACTTTTCAAATGTTTTTGAAAAACTGCCGAAGATATTATATTTACTTTAAGAAATAGGAGGCAAAATCAATAATCAGGAAAAAACTATGGAGCCATTTTTTCTTCAGTTCCAAATGGACAAAAGAGTTCTGTGTCAATTAGTCAATCTAATTTTAATTTACAATGACGAAGTTATATTTTACATTTTTGAGTATCTAATGTACTTTTTTAAACTTGAATTCATAATGCACGTTTTGAAAACAATTACTAAGGTATAGATCTTTCTATCGGTAAGAATATAAATTACCGTTCTAATTCGATAACGTCACGTAGAGCAAATTATTAAGAGACGCTTGTGAATAGTATGGAGAAAATGCTGATGCGAAGAAATAGGTTTCCTTCTCATATAAAATACCATAGTTTCAAAATGATACAATGGTTATTGTAAAGAACCAAACCGCAAAGTCTTTCAAAAACTCAACTACGTCCAGGAAACTTGAAGAAACTATACAGATATAGTTTATTTTAAAGCTGTCACACTGTTTCGACTACGAGAAATGTTCACTGGAAATTTTTGTTGTTACAATAACGGACTATAATAAAAGATTATCAGAAAAATATGGTTGAAAGACCGCGTAGGTGATATGGAATAACATCAAATACGTCGATTCTATTGAAGCGAATTCTGAGAGAAAACATAATCAACAGTATTTTTACAATGACACGATTAAAAGCGCCACTTATCACTAGTATGCCAAATTTCTTTACCACATGTTTTTTTTCGGCTTTTAACCGGATCACTAACGAAAAATATACATTGCAAGTAACTTTTTATTGAAGTGTATGTTAGGCAACAATATCGAGCCATTCAATATATGGAGAGGGTATCAATGGTGTTTTTTTTAAATGAGTAGTTTTCTTCCCGCTAAAATATCTCTGCAATGTCCTTCCTGAAAGCACCTCACATTTCGGAAACTTCATCTCATTCCGTATCAATTTTAACAAAAACTCACTTTGTTTAATTCTTCTATCCTTCGAATCTGATAAGGAGAGGTGGATGACGTCTCAAAGTACACATAATCTGGAATAAAAAACATGCCAAGAATTAAATCTATTGTTTACACCCACAGTCATTCATTGCAAGAATTACCATTGATTGATTATTTATCTTTTAAAATGTTTCTCATGAATTAAATAATGTATGATGATTAAGCAAAGGGAGAGGGACAGTGGGAAAACAATATAGTAGTTTCTGAAATCAATTTCTTCGGTCTAACGAAGCAAACTACTACTAATTCTATAAAACTCATTAATCTCATAATACGCTGGTTAAACCATTAACCTATCTAGACATGTAATGATTAACCCCACACACATAAGTTCAACATCGCAATGCTACAGTTGAAAGGTTGAGAAGGTAGGAGAAAAAAAGAAAACATTTTGAGAACTTGATGCAGTAGAAAAAAAATTTACAAGATTTCCACAGGACGAAGTTGTAAAGTCCAGAGGAACGTGAGTAAGAGGACGCTAAGGACGGAACGAATTGGGAAGAGACATAAGCGAAACATAGAGAGGGGGAAGATTCACATGCGGAAAAGGAAGAGCATGAGAAACAAGGACCGACTATAGAAGGAGAAGGGTGATAGTCAAGGGAAGAAGGGCAAGAGCCCAAGGGGACAAGAAGGGACAGGGGACGCCGTCGTGATGCTATTTGTAAACCTTACTTTTTCTTAAAAACTAAGGAAACGAGTGTAAAAGTCGTAATATATTCTTTCGTTGCAAAAAAAAACTAGGAAGAAGGGTAGGAAAGAAAATGAGGGAGAAATAGGGAATGGCAAGAGCATGAGCTTGTTTTCATCATTTATTATTATAGAATTATAGGAAAACCATGAAGGTAATAAAAAGAAGGGCTCGGTGGCAAACGTTACCTCCCACTCGGTACATGTTGGCCGTCATGTTGCTGGCGTCCTGTGCGAGAGCAGTGGCTGCGAGCCCAAAATTTGTACTCTCGTGGTGACCGTGGCTCTCGTGATGTTCCGCCGGCATTGGCATAGAATATGTCCCCTACCACCTTCGCCACCCTGTCAGCTCTACTTTTATCACTCTATCAGTTTTGATGCCTCGTTTTCGTTTATCAATGAATTCTCGTATCTCTACAATATCTCGATGTTCCACGCTATTTATTGATGAGACAAGCGATTGAATGTGTTTATAACGGATGCATCAAACGGCTCAACTCACTGAAAAACACTTGGCCACTTCGACGAAGTGGTAAGATATTCAGCACTTCACTGTGTCACACTCCATCGCATTTTTTCGAGTCACATTGAACATGGAAATAATGTCCATCATTAATGCCGCTCCTTCCCCTAACCACGGATTGAAAACAGTACAGTTGTTGAAAAATTGATAAATTTAGAATTGGTAAAGCTCGGCACAGCATACGTTCTTAACCTCCCCAAATTCGGAAATAGGGAAAACACACACATACACAATCAATGTGCGTACAACACTGAGAACTTCTGACCCGGTACAATATAACACAAAACAGCCCAGAGACCGTTTGGCCAACTCTCCGCAGCGCTCCCCCCTCCTCAACAAAAAAAACCACAAATTCACGCCAAAACTCTCTTCTATTAAGAGTTCTATGTACCACTTGCTTTCACTCAATTCGCCGCTTATTTATTATGTAGAAATGCTTGATTTGATAAGTGTACTCAATGTCAAATTATGTCGACTGCTTTTACAAACTACAAGGAATAGATAGAGAAGTTTGTATCGTGTCCCTGAAGCAATTCTGCTGAACGAAACACCGCCATTTTCAATCCGCGTGAGCGGCGATGCGAGCACCACCACTCTCTCTATGCACGGCTCAACAATTCACATTTTCACAAGGTAGACAGCGCTAGGACCTATGGTGCACTTTTTCTGTTTCTCAATTCAAATGGTTTTCGCCTCTCCCTATAGATAGAGCCAAGTACCAATTCTTTCCTAATTAGCGGGATTCCGCACCCCCGTGTACTTAGCCGAAAGAGGCAGTAATTAGCAAAATTATCTTATGTATTCGATTGTACATCGTTACTACATGATTGTACTAGACTTTTTTTTGTTTATACATTCACCCACTAATTATAAATAATTATCCTATTTTTGCCATGAATGCTGGCCGGAATAAAATGAAAAATTGGTCATGGGTTAAATAAACGGTCAGTTCGATAGGAAATTGTTTGTACATCACGAATTACATATCTTCTTCGTTTGTCAATTCCTTATTAATTGATTGAATAACAAATGAATAATTCATTTTCGCCCCCAGCCCATACGATAGCTGCTATTGTTCCTGTGTTCAGTGCGGTTATATATATTTCATTTTGCTATTTCATATTTATCTACGTTTTGATCCAAATAATTATAAAAACTATTCGAATTAGTTGAAGGGCCTTCGCGGGGGTATGATAGATTAGTATTGACTTTTGATCGATTCCCGTTTTTTTTTAAATTATTTATTCAAAAAAATTAAATATTTTGACCGAAGTTAACACCTTGGTTTTGTAATTTTGCGTTAGAATATTCAATGACCGATTAAACAATGCAAAATCGTTTGCAGGTGATTCATAGATGACTTTTAGCTTCCTTCGATCAACCAATTACGAATTATCGGTGAAAACCCGTTTTTTCAAAATAAGGTTTAGACTAGTGAGCTTATCTGCGTGTGCGCACTGTAGTTGAAACCCGAAATGATCAGCTGATTCACAAGAAGTTTCAATCATTTAGTTTGCAGTCCAATAAAGAAATAAATAAAATATGAAATCCGTTTATTTTCGTGCAGTAAATTTTTCAAATTCGATCAAGTTATCCGTGTGGTCAAAACAATGAGTCAGTACACTGTTATAACATCAGATTTCGTTAATCTAACGATGTCCAACTCTGGACTACAATCATGCTGTGTGAAAAATGGAAAAAACGTCGCACGGAAATCCTGGAGATATTTCACTTCCGCTTTCAAAAAAAATAGTTGTGCTCACTGCACTCAATTTACCAATTATCACTTGAATTGGATGAATACATAAAATATTTCCATTGGAATGGTGTTTCACCATTGTTGCTCCAAAATCGTCCTGCTCCAAAATGCAAGTAGCTAGCAGTTGGATACAACATGGCAACTTCCCCTCCCTTGGACCCGTGACCTACTCGCGATGACTCCAAAACGGTTTTTCACCAATAATTCGTAATATTAGTCGATCGGAGAAGGCTGAAAACTATCTATGAATCACTTGCAAACGATTTTGCATCATTTAAAGGGTCATTGGATTTTCTAACGCAAAATTACAAAAATGAAGGTGCTAACTTCCGTCAAAATATTTAATTTTTTTGAATAATTAATTAAAAAAAAAAACGAGCATCGATTAAACGTCAATTGTGATTTATCATACACCTGCAAAAGCCCTTCAAATGATTCTAATATTTTGTATAATTATTTGGATCAAAACGTAGATAATTTCCGGGAGCTCGGATCTGTAGGGCACTGAAAAGTATTATCAAATTTTCACCTTGAAAGCGCCACAAAGTACGGAGTCACATCGTACTACACTCCCATTATATCTACACATTTTCAATGGTATTAACTTGATCTACCGCGCATATACTTTACAGTAGCTTATAATTTATAACATTGTTGTATAATGGAGAAAACACAATCCAATCAGTTAAAAGAAAATACTAATCATATTTAATGCAACATTGTCAAGTAAGTAAGGTATGAAAATTTAAATTGAACCGCACCCCAACGTCAAGATGATGTGACACAATGTTATAGGGGGAATTGTTCAATCAAATTTTTTGGTAGCCGCAGCTCTCTTCTGGTACTCATAAAATTCAGAATAGATCGACGAGGTGCCCTAAAGATCCGTTAAAAATAGTTCACAGTTCAGAGTACCCATTTATTTCCCCCAAAATGAACTCTGAACTCTGTAAGTAGTTCAATGTTCAGGATATCTATTTTGCCCCTCAAAAAATAATGTATTTCATAACAAGTGCGGAAAAATGATTTTTGGCGTGTCGAAGATTTATAACGAGCCGAAGGCGAAAATGCCACATGCCGAAGACAATTTTCTGTACGAGTTGCAAACAATATTTTTCTTCGCAATGTGTCTAAAATTTTTATGCACATCATGACGGAAAATTCGAACTTCCGGAAATTGTTCAGAGTTCAGAGAGCCCATTTTCCACCTTCACCTCGATCTTTTAACCCTGAAGCATGTTAAGAGTTCGGAGGTATGCCGGCTTAATCATTGTAACGTAAACTGTTATCCAACACTTAGCTTGCTCTCAACTGCTGGAAATTCATAAGAGTTCAATCCTTAACTAGGTCCGCCAGGGATAAAGTACAAGAATGGGAGGCTTTCAATTACATTTTGATATTTGAAACGTTTGCAGAGAAAAACAATAAGAACAAGAAATGTATTCCACAAAGCATACGTTTCCAACTCGAACGTGGGAAAAATGTTACTCCATAAATAAGGACTTCGGCTACCGATAAATTTTCGTACAAAATTTAATCTATGTCTATCAATGGAAAAATCATGTGAACACAAGTGTAAATAACCGCTGTACAGGGATTTTACTATATAAAGCAAAAAAAACCAACAAATTTTGGAATTCATCATTATCTCTCTTCAATGGTTTCAAAACCATATTTTTTTATTACATTTTTTTAAGCGAAATTGAAATAAAGCATGGAATATCCGTTATTATAGTATCAAATTTGTCGCAATTTTTGAGCTGGATCCAGGGTTACCAGATGGCGTCTTGTTTCAACAAGTGCATCATAGCGATGTGTCAATCAGATATTAAAAAAAGTCATACGAAAAACGAAAATCAATTACATCCTCCACACTGAATTTCTCATGATAATATAAAATAGAAAGGGCTTTTTCAAAAAAATTGCCATTCGGCGATACTGGCTGTATCTCCGTCAATTAAGAAAGTATCTCGTTATTTATCAGTAAATATGTTCGAGAAATCCCTCATTACCCTTGTTTTCTGAGATTAAAATTAAAAGAATTGATGAAATCAAATTTGCTTCGCTAAGAATACAATTTTTTTATATTTACGGGCGTTACATTCTCTTAAAGTATTATTAAAGATAATTCGACAAATCTAAAACTTGAATTCCTTATATTTCTTGGCAGACTTGCTCTCCTGTGTCTGCTGTCTTTTTCTTTTACTCTGAAACACAAAAATGGAAAAATCTTAGTTAATGGGTGATCGAAAAATAGTTCTTCAACCTGACACCATGAATTTACAGATAGTTATCGAAAAACTTGATGAGTTTGTGAAGTGAAAGGTGTACAAAAATTGATTAAAAACACCTCTCATTAGATTTTCTGATAAGTGCTATTTAATATTGATTTCATCAATTATACGAACTTTTTGACGTTGGACATGGTCTTGTAGCAAATCTGAGACATCTTCTCTCCTGAGATGAGCTTGTCTCGACCTGATGGTTTCTTCATACCTTGAGGCCATGGCTTCAGAATCCAGATCTAATTCACTAGGATCCAACGCTACCTCTACAGCCCCATCCTTCTCGGTTCGATTTTCACCACCACTAATACCTCTTCGTGCAGCAATTACAGACGGTGGTGCTTGTCCTCCAGCGCCAGTCATATCATAAACATGAGTACTGCCCATCATACTGCCGCCAAGGCCTTCAGTTCTTCGCTCTTGGAGTACAGTGTAAAGCGCTGCAGGAGTGTCTCCACCCTCCATATCACTCTCTATTTTCTTCTTCCTCAATTCAATAGTTTCAGGAGTTTCCAATCCAGCAGGGATTGATGTCATGCCGCTTGGAGTTATTAAACCTTCGGCTCCAGGTGTCACAAGACCACTAGTATCTCCATCGATTTCTCTACCATCTCCATCAACATCACCAGCCTCATCCACTTCTTCATCCTCATCCTCATCACCAGAACTTTCCGACTCCGGTTCACCCCACATTCCCCGATCCACTTCCTCATCCATAACATCTCCACCAAGTGGTCTTACTACTCCGAACACGTCTCCATAAAGTGGCCTTCCTGTCTCATCAACTGGAGGTTTGCCCCAACCCCCCGCATGGTATCCAAATGCACATCCCTCGGGAATGGGTGCATTCAGTCCAGGAATTTTTAAATTGGGGTAACTAGGAGGAGGCCCATATCTTTGCATAGCAATGAGCCATGGTGGAGGCACCTTATGGCAATTGGGGCCTACCGGCATACCTAAGGCTGTTCTCAATTCATCGGAAAGCTCACCAGGCTTCTTCTCTTTCAACCTCGTCTCAAACTCCTTACCCTCGTAATATAAATCGCCATGAATGGTCATTCTAGGTTTGGTTTGCCACTTGAAGAAGGCATCATGCAGCTTCTGATAATCAATATCAATCTTGCCTAGTTTAGGTCTAGCCCTCTCCCTCATCTTTGCTTTCAAAGTTTTTGAGTCATCTCGTTCTTGCAGACTAGCCCTCATCTCGGTGATTCCAGTGCGCTTAATAAAGTCAGGAAGATCAAAGGGTGGTTTCTCAATTCCTCTTTTTCCTTGCAAGTACTTGCGCTTGAAGCACCAGTGCCTAGGCACTGGAACAGTATTTCTATGAGCTTTTAACTGCACAAGAAGCTTTGGATCTCGAGCTGTCACGTCGTGCATTTCCACGACATCAGGACGACCAACAAGCTGCTTCAGTTCAGCCACACTCAAACGAGTTAAGCGTTTTAGTTTCCTTTTTGATAAACGAGGAGCGCCATTTTCCGTAGTTGGTTGCTGAGGTTGGCCTGCGTCCTCATCGAAATCATCCAATAAAGGAACCTTATTGGCAACTGGAGTCACTGTCGGCGGATACTGACCGATCAATTCTTTATCTTTATCGATGGATTCTGGTTCAATCAATTTGAAGGCTTCGAAGACTCGAGCAAATTGACGATACATGGGTTCTAAGTCCGTTATTCCTGGTGTTTCCTGAATGTATTCCACTTCTGGGAGGTCTTCTTTAGTAACACATGAGGTAGAATCCGTCTTTTTATTCTCTTGATCCTCCTTTGGGTCACTCGTATGGCGTTTTCTCTTTTTCTTTTTCTTCTTCTTGGATTTTTGAGTCTTTTGATGGGAATTAGAATTTGAAATTGGATTGGCAATTTCAAGAGAATCGGCAGGAAATTCCATAGAGATATCTGGTGGTTCAGAGGGGGAAGTACCTGGGACAGAGATTTCATTGGGGTCTGCGCCCACTTCTTTAGCACGTTCAGTTTTGAAAGCCAAGGCTTGTTCAAGCGCTGCTGGAAGTTTCACTGAAGACGGGTCTGCATCTACATCTGATTCTTCCAGGGGGGGCTGATCCATACCCGGAGGGACAGAAACTTTAAGCGAAAGGAGACTCGGCAGTGCTTTTTGCGGCTCCATGTTGTTCCTAAAACGACGAACCATTAATTATGCATGACATTTTTTCAAAATTTGTCCAAAAAATCCTCAGGGTAGGCATAAAACATCAAATTTCCGGACGAAAAAAAGGGTACGGAACAAATTCCGAACAATTTCATTTAACATGAATAGTCAGTTAAATAATTTAATGATTTAAATCATTTAACATCAGTCGGCTTCCACGTGGAGATTATATTGGGGACTTATTGTTGGAATTGCTGGACAAAATTCAGATTAAATACCAAAGATGTTCGTCTTGCAAAAAATTTAATACTCTACAAAGAAAACGCGGACTACCAAAAGTACGTATATTCCTTCAGAAAAAATGCACTTTAGTATGGCACTACGAAATTCAATATTGCTGTAGTAAATGAGTATTAGTTCTATCTGTTTATAAGTAAGTACAATTTCAATACAATTTTCGGACTCCCTTATACCATTTTATCTCCTTCGTTTGTAGGATCACTCATCGATTTGCTAATCAAAAACCTAATACTTTTTTGGTGAAACACCCATTAAGGCTTAAGAAGCCACTCAATCAAGCAATCGTCAGAATTTTTCCGTTTTTTTCAATTAATAAATTTTTCTTTTCATACATACGAATATCAATTCTTCAAAAACCAAAACTTCAACTTGCAGATAATTTCCGTATTTAATCTCCAACAAATGCTATATGAATGAAGTGTTATATTTAGTGAAATATATATATATCCTCCAAAGCCCAATTCTCCACTTGTTCCATTCGATATCTACATTCCCTGTACAGTGTAACTTCAAAATTACTTGCAAACGACAAATAAGCCAGGTCTTTCAACCTTTCTCTCCATAAATATAGGATATACGGGCTTACGAATCGCCTACCACACGATCGCTAACGCTGAGTAGACACTTGGGAGCACTCAAAGCTTAATCTATTAATTTATTAATCAGAATGAAAAAAAAAATTCATATTATCTTCAATTAACACATATCGCTATTTTGTACAGAAAGAGAAATTTTTACTTTCTTACGATTCCAATTTCTTCACTTGTTATTCATCTGAAATGTTTTCTCGTTCAACATTTAAGGTTACTTGTGGTTAGAGTAGCGGCACCGATGCCCGGAACTGTAGCATAAATTGCCAGAAACTAACAGAGACTATAGGAGGAATTGCTAGGGACCCTAGGAACTACGGCAAGGCTACGCGACAAAGATGACATAACGTTGGCACATACGCTAAACCAAGGCATAGGTACAGTCAGCTCAAAATCTTTCAACCCGCACGGAGTAACTCGTAGAAACGTAAAATCACAAAACGGTAAGAATGAGCGCTGTCCCATCCAACAACACAAAGAGGATTGACTAAAAGTGGCACTGTGCACTTGGAAGAAATGTAATTTTTTATGAACTTGAAGTTAGCTGCACTTTTCATATACCAGCCTTCAGCAGAGAATATCTCTGTGAAAAGTGAGGATATAAAAAAAAAATCTGTGTATTCAGGAAACCTTTCTCCAGGTGGGAATTGCCTCACTTTTTTTCGATAAGTGTTGTTTCTTTTTTTAAAACAATAAAACGAATTACAGAAATGTTCAGCATAGAATATCTCCGACGCCACCCATCAGCACAATATCATGTAACCAAATTCCCTGACTTCGGTTTTCAAAAATCTAAATGGGAATTCCTTTTTTTTTTATTTCCCCCCTTCGTAATTCGGAACTTAAAAAAAAATCAGAAAAACTTCAACACTCCAGATCTCACGTATGGAGCAACCCCCAGAGTTGAGTCAAACACTAAAATTTTTATTTTGCATTGGCCTAAAAGGGAATTGGTTTTTTTTTCAAATTTTTGAACGAAATTTCTTGAAATTATTTTTATTAAATGTATAAAACTCTATAATCTCATAAGAATTCGGCAGAATTTGATAAATTTGATTGCAAAAAATAGTTTTTTACATTTTCTTCGTTTTCATCAGTATATCTAATAATATTGTTCCATGATCTTGTCGAATTTCATTCATACTTTTTTTGAATACCGCAAGCAATTGAAATCCGCCCATCTCTGACATATTGCACACTGCACCCAATCACATCTTGATCGGTGTTCATGTTTTGAACAATATAAACAATATGACTGTATATTACATGAAGATAATGGAATTAGTAATTTCAATTCTTCTTTCTTCGTGTCGGCGTCGAGTAGACCAATACACTTGATTCTTCCTGCTACTATTTCTTCAATAAAATGAAGGGTAAATATTCCACAATTGTAGCTATCCTACTGAAGTGGATAATTGCATTGTTTAATCGACCATTGCACTTTTGTCCGAGGGAAAATCTGATGATTAAAAAAAACTTGATTTATTTAATTTTTTTTGAGACCAATTCCCATTTAGGCGAATGAAAAATAAAAATTTTGGTGATTGACTCAACTCTAGGGGTTGTTCCATACGTGAGATATGGAGTGTTGAAGTTTTTTTGTTGTTTTTTTAATTTCGAATCACGAAGAGGAGAAATAAAAAAAAAAGAACTCCCATTTAGATTTTTGAAAACCGAAGTCAGAGAATTTGGTTCCATGATATTGTGATGGGCGACGTCGGAGATATTCCATGCTGAAGATTTCTTTAATTCGATTTATTGTTATAAAAAAAGAAAAATTATTTATTGAAAAAAAGTGAGGCAATTCCCACCTAGAGGAAGGTTTCCTGAATACACAGATTTCTTTTTTTTTATATCTTCACTTTTCACAGAGATATTCTCTGCTAAAGGCTAGTATATGAAAAGTGCAGTTAACTTCAAGTTCATAATTTTTTGATTAACTTTTCATACTTTTTTCTTCGTAAGTCTTTAGGTGGTAATTTGGTGGAATTTAGAAGAGCATAATTAGAATTTGGGAGTGATTACTTTTTGTTTAATGGATTTTTTTTCTTTTACAATAATAATGAGCAGAAGGTATGATTGAATAATTCAAAAATAATGACAACCGATGGAGAAGAATTTGATGGCCATTGTAATCAATGTTTCATAATTGAGAAGTTAATGGTTTTACTAGTAAAAAATCAAAACGTACTTTTTTTCGTACACTATGCAGTAAGGAGACTTGCGCATGCGTAGTAGGCTTAAGGTAGGACGAATTGATTTCATACTTATATCAGAGATTATCACTGATCTCTATATAATATAGAGATCAGTGGAGATTATAGAGGAGATTGCTAACGCCAATGGCGAAGCTTCAACCGCGAAATCTCCTAGCGGTACTGGCGGAACTAATTTTGCGGGTGTACCTGTGAATCAACCAGGTCGCGAGGGCAAGAGTGTCGGTAATTTTCGGAGGGCGTGGGTATAGATAAGGCAGAGCGCGAGCCCGAGAGCGTCGATAATTCGGAAAGACCAGCAAACGCGAGAGTGTCGATAATTCGAGGAAGTCGTGACGAAAGAAAACATTGCATATAGAGCGGAGTGGGGGTATGATGGAGAAACAATCGATGGACGGAATGAGAAAAATGAATTCACTTCTGTAAATTCGAAAAATTGTTCAACAAATTGGGGAAAAATTGTCTCGCAAATATATATTCAAACGATTGAGAATCGTGTGAAACGTGGAGATTAGTTTGTCCTTCGGACAATTTTTTGTGCAACGTCATTATTTTTGTTAACAAATGTCGAATTTGTTCACAAAAATAAATACGTTGACAAAAAAATGTTCTGAGGGACCAATAAATCTCCACGTTACAACGCAAACACGATTCTCAGTCGTTTGAGTCAATACTTGCGTGACAATTTTTCTCGAATTTGTTTAACAATTTTTCGCATTTGTTAACAAAAATGAACCCATTGGGAAAAAAAAGGTTCCGAGGGACCAGTAAATCTCGACGATTCAGCTAATTCCCAATCGTTTGAGTATATATTCGCGTGACAATTTTTCCCCAATTTGTCCAATCATTTTTGAATTTGTTAACAAAAAAAAGACCGTGGAAAAAAAAAAGGTTCTCAGGGACCAGTAAATCTCGACGATTCAGCTGATTCCCAATCGTTTGAGTATATATTCGCAAGACCATTTTTCCCCAATTTGTTTAATCATTTTCGAATTTGTTAACAAAAAAGGAACAATGGGAAAAAAAAGGTTCTCAGGGACCAGTAAATCTCGACGATTCAGCTGATTCCCAATCGCGTGAGTATATATTCGCAAGACCATTTTTCCCTAATTTGTTTAATCATTTTCGAATTTGTTAACAAAAAAGGAACAGTGGGAAAAAAAAGATTCTGAGGGACCAGTAAATCTCCACGATTCAGCTGATTCCCAATCGTTTGAGTATATATTCACAAGACCATTTTTCCCCAATTTGTTTAATCATTTTCGAATTTGTTTACAAAAAAGGAACAGGTGAAAAAAGAAGGTTCTAAGGGACCAGTAAATCTCGACTATTCAGCTGATTCCTAATCATTTGAGTATATATTCGCAAGATAATTTATCCCAAATTTTTTTAATAATTATTAAATTTGTTGACAAAAATAGAACCGTTGAAAAAAAAACGTTCCGAGGGACCAGTAAATCTCGAGGTTTCAGTTGATTCGCAATCGTTTGAGTATATATTCACGAGACATTTTTTCCCCAATTTGTTGAACAATTTTTCAAATTTACAAAAAAGAATTCATTTTGTTCATTCCGTTCATCGATTGTTTCTTCATCATACCCCCACTCGCTCGATATGGCATGTTTTCTGTCGTCACGATTTCCTCGAATTATCGACACTCTCGCGTTTGCTGGTCTTTCCGAATTATCGACACTCTCGGGCTCGCGCTCTGCCTTATCTATACCCACGCCCGCCGAAAATTACCGACATTCTTGCCCTCGCGACCTGTTTGATTCACAGGTACACCCGCAAAATTAGTTCTGCTCGGGCGGCCAGACAATTTTGCGGTTGAAGCCTCGCCATTGGCGTTAGCAATCTCCCCTATAATCTCTGCTTATATTATTATTGGTTTTTTCGACTTTTTGCTTAATAAATATTTAGGTGGTATTTCGGTGGAATTATGAAGACAATAATTACAATTTAGGAGTCATTAGTTTCAATTAAATAATTAATATAATAAAGTATAGAAATAAAAAAAAAATCATAACATTTTTTTTTACGAATATGGGTTTGATGAGGAATCATTTGCTGGTCACGATGATTAAGGTTTCAGAATTTAGGAGTTGATAATTTTTCAGTAAAAAAAAACAATAATTTCCTGGCGTCGCACATACTCATTGCGTGCGCATGTCATAGGGAGTTTAAACCTATTTTATCTGTCATCAGTTATATATTTTCGTATTAGAATAATTACTTTCACTCAACCGAACAATAATCTGAAAACCGATTGTTTTTTCACGTCATATTCAAAAATTTATTTATTGTGTGACAGAAATCATCATCTTCAGTCGTTTTGTGTTGAAACTGTACTTTATTATTCAAAAGATATATTAGCGCTGTAATCAATGGGTGTGTTCCGCCAGGGAACAGTACAAGTCCAGTAATAGTGATTTCTAGTGCATTTTAGATTTGGTAACTAGAGGTTGGTACTGTTACTGGAGTTGTGTTTCACACGG